TGCAACACACTGTTCTCCTCTTCATCCTCAGAAGAAGTGGGACAAGTCTTTCTGAACTTCTTTGTCTTGATCTTTTTATCCTTCAGAGCAGTATTCTCTGGTGTAACAACAGTTGGGTTTATCGTAGCCTCCCTGGACGTTACGTAGCTACAGCCATTTTGAATTAAACGGAGTTTTCCAACAGAAGAATGACATTTAGAGGCAACGTCCTCTAAAAATGTTTTATCTTGCTGCATGATGCCGCAGGTCCCAACACCTTTGTCACTTTTCTTCTCACAAGTTTTCACAAGCTCACTGAGGTTGCAGTGTGAACTGGATGGATTTGGGTATTCTTCACCGTAGTTCATGTCGACCACACAAGTCTGAGCGAAGTTCTGTAAAAACATCTTCTGGCAGCTGAGATGATCCTGGGCTGTGATGGAAGGTCTGACTCGTGCACCAGAGTCCTGTTCAACATGGATGCAGAAGCGCTCGTCTGCCTTTAGCTCATGCAGCCCCCCTTCAGGGGTGGATGTGGCAGGACTAGTTTGGAAGTGCTGAATCATCTTTGGTGAGTCTTGTTTGCATAAATAATAGTTTATTTTTCTACAGGCGTCTTCTGAAGCAGTGCAGCCACAGCCATGAGTGTGACTGCAGGCCGATGGTGTTTCACGAGACATTTGATGAAGTCCTGGACCTGGAGGCTGAGCCTGAAGTTGGTCAATGTGGTCAGCTTTAACATGAGGAACATCTGAACTGGTCTGAAGAACATATGAACTGGTCTGGCTGTTCAAACATTGGGAACAAATATCTTTGGTGACCAGATGAAGTGGGAATGTTACTTTATGTTCATCTCCTTTGTATATGTCTCGAGGTAGCTTGGGTAGTAGACTCACTGGGTTTTCTTGAGAACTGAAACAATCAGGTCTGGGCTTCAGCTCAACTGGCATGTCTGGTATTAACTGCTCAGTTGTGACTAATGCATTGCTGCTCATCACCGTCTCCACTGAAGGAACTTTGCAGAAGTCCATTCCTTCTTTCATGTCATCAACTGTCAGCTGTTCTTCTGTCCGCTTGTCTCGATCAAAGCTAATGCAGCACGCAGATGACAAAGCATTCAGACTTTGACTCCTGCCCTTTGGACCACCATCTCTGCAAATCACTGACGGTGTCATGTGATCTTTCACCACTTCAGAGATCCTCAGATCGATAGCGCTACAAATGGCATCCAACTTGCACGTGTGCTTTGCACGGTCCCGACACGCTCTGTGGCTTTCAGCTGGACACTTTCCATTTGCTGTTTGTTCAAAGCCTTTCTTGTGTGCTCCATGTTCATCTTCAGTTAGCTCCTTATCAAACTGTGAACTCTCATCTTCAAGTTTAACCAGATTATCAAAGACCTGCCCACTTGGCTCCTGGTTTTTGTTCTCGGTTTCAGATGCAGCATCGTCTGTAACACAAACAGGTTTGACAACACACTCTTTGTTTGCAGAGACTCTTCTGTTCTTTTGGTCCTCAGGCCAAACACCTTCCATCAAGTCACCTGGTGTCCTGGAGAAAGTTACAAACTCCTTGTTGGTGCTTCGTTTTGGTACTTTTAGGCCTCCCATAAAAGCAACTTTATGGTCTTTGCTCCTCTTTCTGGAAGTTTTATGAGCCAGTTTAACACTTTCCTGCTGCGGAGCAACAAGCAGCTCAAGGTTTTCATCCCATTTAACTGGTGCACACTCTGCTTTTGTAAAATAACTGTCCTCATCATGTCTCAGATCTGGTGTTTTCTTTTTGGTGGAAGATTTGAGCAGATGTAAGGCAGTAGGCATCTCATCCTGCATTTTAACACCGGAAGCACTTAGAGATGGACCACTTGTGCTGTACGTTTCAATGTCAGGAGACATTATGTCTAAAAGCTTCACATCATGGACATCTGCAGATGCATGAGATCTAACTGATGTTACTCGGGGGGGCTGGGACACGTCTGCAAGTGGGACAGTTTGACCTGAGGCAGGTAGCGTTGTGTTTGTGTGTAACTGCTCTTTAAAGCAGGTTGAATCCTCATGGTTACCTGAGTTCAGGATGTCTCCTGAAGCTCCATGCGCCTTTGACTCCCTCGACATGTCGCAGTTATTTTTTAGAGTCTTTAAACCCTCAGCGCTGGTGGATATAGGGCTGTTACTTCTAGATCCACTCTGAGAGTTTGAGAGACTCATTCCAGTGAGACTGCTGCTGCTCTCAGCATGTCGGAGCATTATGTGCTTCGGTAAGGGCAGAGAATCCCGGTGAACTCTTGGACTTTCAGCTGCCTCTGCAGAGGACCAGGCATCACTGAGGACCTGCAGGTTTTCTGGCTCCTCCACGCTAATGAAAGACTGCGGGACGCTGGTCGAAGGGATCAGCATGTTCTCAAATTCTTCTGTCAGTTTATCTACAGTGTGTCTACTTCTGGAGTTTGCTGCTAATGAGATGTGGGAAGAGGACTTCCAAGCTGGATCTACTTGTTTTGTCTTTGAGGAGGCTTGCTGGCTCCAGTAAACTTCTGCTGGGGTTACAGGAATTTTCTGACCACAGGGTTCTCTAGTTGTACTTCTTTGTTCAGATGAAAGACCACAATGTGTCACTAAAGAGTAAACTGGCATTACTGCTCGTCTACATCTCGTCACTGTTGCCAGTTCCCCACTGTTCCCCACAGCTAAGGAATCTTTAGACATCTTGCTGTCTTCGCTCTCTGCATCACTTGTCTCCTCGTGTCTCAGCTGCTCTGCTAGAGCCGTTGCGTAAGCAGAAGACAGAGAATCAACGGAGAAAAGGCTCTCGCAGTCTGATGCTCCTTCGTCCCTTTCTAACTGCGCAACCCACTGGACCAGTCCCTGCTGCCGCTCTATTGAGGCAACGTTCATGTCCAGTAGAGCGTCTGTGCTACACCACCGCCGCTGTCCATAGCTCTCAGCATGAGTCCTCTGATCGAGCTCCTCACACGAGACAGCTGCTTCAATGGCACCTTCATTTATTTCAGTATCTTTAAGACTTTTATGTCCTTTTGGTCTCCAGTGAAATTTACTTGCTATCCTACCAAGAGGCTGAAGGACTCGTCCTCCTTTTACGCCTGACGGTGGCTTCCTGAAAACTTTGGAGAAAGCTGCTTTTAGTTTGGGTCCCGTGGAATGAGAACGAGACTTGCTGATGGTTTCCAGCTCATTCTTATCTGCAAGAAAAAAGTTTTTATCATTTATAGAAGAGCTCTTTGTGAAGCCAGGTTCATGTGCTTTGGTTGTTTGATTGTTTTCCATGTTGGCTGGTGGTGACGTAGTGGGAGGAGGACGTTGTAGCACTGATGTCACGTTCTGGTTCAATCTGTTTGGAAGCAAAAAGTCTCCATTTGGCAGCAAAGGTTTTTGTCCTAAGTGTTCAAGATGTGGCTGAGCTTGTGATTCCTCTTTGGTAGTTTGTTTGACACTTTCATAGGAACGATGGTTCCCACTGAAGACAGAACCGGAACAACTTTGGGTTCGTTCACGGCGAAGACATTCATCTGAAACCCACTTTCTGCCGCCATCAGAATTACATGTAGTGGATGAATTTAAAGTCCGTTCAGTGGTTTTGTTTCTCTTCAGGAAGTGTCTATTGATGAGAGAAAAATAAAATGGACATTTAGGATATGTTAATTGCACTGCAAATATTTATACTGTATATAAAGCATAGATTGTACAACAAAGTATTAAGGCCGCTTAGAAGAAAATCATGAGGATTTTAAAAATTTATTTCAGGAAAAAGTCACAACATTGGATAAACTAAAATACTGCATGTTATTTTGTAGTTAGCTCAGGAAGGGGTCCCCACCAACCAACCAACCAACCAATCAACCAACCAACCAACCCACCAACCAACCAACCAACCCACCCACCAACCAACCAACCCACCCACCAACCAACCAACC